TCGTGGCGCAGTGGTTAAAACGCTGTACTGCAGCTAAAACTGTGCTCACGACCTGGGGTTCAAATCCCAGGTAGCCGGCTCAAGGTTGACTCAGCCTTCCATCCTTCCGAGGTCGGTAAAATGAGTACCCAGCTTGCTGGGGGGGGGGCGCAATGTGTAGCCTGTATAATTAAAATTGTAAACCGCTCGGAGAGTGCTTGTAGCGCTATGGGGCGGTATATAAGTCCAATAAATAAATAAATAAAATAAATAAAGTCTCAGAAGCGAGCACTGCTCTAGGCAGGCGGATGCCATTCTGTTTCTTGTCTTTATTCTACCTGTTGGGCTTCCTCTTCCCTTCTGTTTACATGGTGCAGTTTTGCCTGCCACCTTCACATAATAAATACAGCACCAGCAGCAGAACGTGATCATGGGATCCTCAGATCCTAGTAGCTACAGCCTATGTGGCCAGTGATGAAGGATCATGGGAGCTGTAGTCCAGTATGGAGGAGGGCTATCGGTCTTCCCTTTTGTTGGTATTCTGGGAAAGTATTTTGCTGGGAAAGCGGACTTAATTTTCAAGAAGGATCCTGGTAGCTGCGATGCCTGAGCTTAGAGCCCTTCTCTCTGATGCAAGTGGTGGCTCTGTGCAGGCCACAGAAAGTGAGTGCAGGCGCAGCTATAACCTTTTAATAACTGGAATGCAATTTTAGGTGTTTTGAAACATTCGCCTAGATAATTCAGGGCAGATACTGGGAAATTCAGGATGCTGGTGCTCATTTCATAAAACCCCTGAGCAGCAGCACCTGGTTTTTCAGTGTCTTGATTTAAAATTGCCTGTGTTCAAATCAAAAGAGGTGGCCCTGGAGCAGGTTTCTTAAAAGTGAAGGAGGCCGTGTGTCACAATTGCTCCAAAGTGTCTTTGAAGTTGCACCCTTGTGCAGTTCTAGATGCTCTTAATTCTGCTATATAGCAGGGAGATGTAGGTTTTGAAAACAGGGACCTATAAAAAAGATAGGAAGATATGACCGGTGGATTTGTCAGGGGGCCAAAGCATTTTGTGGCTTGAGGAAGACAGCCGGTAGAATAAAGACCAAGAGATTAGGAAAGGCATATAATGTGTGCCCAAGACCTGGACTTTGGTCAGTCTATGTGAGAAACGAAAAGTGTCATCGCTGATCCTTCAGGGTTAAAACAAGCGGGGTTTGGGAATGCCGGGAGGAGGAGGAGGAGGAGGGCGAGGACGCGCGGGCGGGCGGAGCAACCGGGCGAAACTGGGCTCCCGGGCCGGCCTCCCCCATTCATTCCCCGAGACACCATCGGCCGGCGCCTCGAAGCCTTGCAGTAGCCACCAGGAGACGCAAGGGGTCGCACTCGCCCGGTCCTGCCTACGGATCAGAGTAGGGGAACTCTAGCCCTCCTTCCCGTCTCCGCTTTCCCCCATCATCCCTTGCGCCCCCTCTCTCTTCTCCCTCTTCCTTTGCAGCCATCGCGGTCGCGGGTTGCCGGAGCGCGGCCATGGTGAGTTAATCCGCGGCCATCTCCTGCCGGGGCCTCCTTTTGGGGCCCCGTCGCCCCGGCTTGGCGGCCCCCGGGTTTCCTGGGACTGCCCCCGAGGGGAATTGGGGGGCCTGGGATGGAGCTGAAGGAGGGGCGGGCGCTCAGCCGTCCGCGGCCCCCCGGAGATTTTGCCCCCGAGGAGGCCAGGCCGGGGCCCGGCGAGAAGTGAGTTTTCCCTCTGACTTTAGGGGTGACGCCGGGAGTCCAGGACTGGAGCCCCTGGCAACGGGGGGGGCGTTTTTTTGCGGGTGACGGTTGTTGCTGTGGAAACCAGGCTGTATGCTGCAGTGGCGATTACAGTAACGTAGTAATTATAGTTACTATAGTAACGATAGTTGCTGTAGTTGCCTTTTTTTTGCTATAATGTTGCTGCTGTTAAATTAGCTGGCTGGATATCTCGGTGGCACGTGTTTGTTATTATTAGATTGTTAAGTTGCTGCCATCGTTGATCATAGTACTAGTCACTTACATTTATATTCTTAGAAGTTTGCTGCTTCATATGCATGCTTTCCTCCTCCTCCTAATAAACCCTGCCAGGGGAGGAGGACGGAGCAGGGATTCGATCTCACGGTGAGCTCCACCGAGACAGCTCTTTAAAGGCCTGAGGAGATGCAGGCATTGTAATGCAAACTCTGAAAAGGGGTATTTTGCTTCCCTGTGGATGATGGTAATGTAGGTCAGTATCTTTGCTAAGCACCCGGTTCTAAAAGGCTGGGATTAAGAATGGGGTGGGTTTTTTTTTTCTGTTTTATTCTCTGGTTGGGTGTGTGTGAGAGAATATTTCTTTTGCTTTTTGGAGACCCTTAATCCATCAGCTAGTATCGCTGCTCCCTTATTTCCTCTCCCAAAAACCTTGGTAGTGTTTTTTTTTTAATTTAAAGCTTCATTTTCTAGCCAAGCTAAAGCTTCTGTTGAATTTAATACAGTATAGTCAGTTCAGTTCTGACTTATGGCAACCGTTTTCCAGGGAATGAATGCCATTCCTTTCTTCCGAGGGCCACCCTGGGATTTTGCAGCTTGCCCAGGGCTCTTCTCCTGGGACGCACGATGGGGTTTTGAACTTCCAACCTCTGGCTCCACAGCCAGATACCTAAAGCTCTTAGCTATCCACTGCTATTCATCTGCTATAGTCCCAAGTTAATTTCTGCCATTTCCAGGAAAGGATGGCAAGATTCCTGATTGAAATCCCAGCCACAGTTACAGAGAAATTTGACAGTACTCCATAAGAGACCGTTTCATGGCTTTTTCCCCTTCCAAAAGTTGCCTTTTAAGCCAAAATATGCCACTAGTAGTAAGATGCCTTAGTGGGCCTCTTAGGTGATCCTTGAAACTTGAGACACCAGGTGCTTGAACTCAGATCTTTCTCTGTGCAAGGTGCACCTTCGGCCACTTCACTACAGTTTCTTACCGGATTTGTGCCTGGTGTGTCCTGTGGAGCCTTTGTGTGGCTACCTTGAAATAACTTGGGGAAGTTTTTTTAGACAGCAGCCCCAAAGTCCCTCAGCCAGCTTGGAGAACCATAAATTGTTTTGATTGACATGGTTTGACTTTAAAGTGTGATTAAAGCTGGCACCAGCCCTTCAGGTTCAGCAGAGTTTTCTCTCAACGAAGGTATGCCTATTATTGTAATACCCAGTAAGTAGTTTGGGTTCCACTGCAGGTGGAGGCTTGCATGACTTGAGGTTTCGCCATTCCCAGTCCAATTAAAAATCTCTTGTTCTTGCACAGTAAACTGACGTGATGGAGAAGACTAAATATAAAGAGGCAGATTGACCCAGACCTGTCAGGGCAATTCTCCCTGTAGCCTCAGATGCCTGTGGCTGTCTGTTGCTGACGGTTGTGATCTTACTTCCAACATTCGTCTTTCGCTCACTTTGCCCTCAAAATGTCAGTCTTACAGGCAGCCTTCACGCAGTCTCTGCTAAGATTGTGACTGAAAAATAGATGTCGTTCTGGACAGACCGGAGTACTTTAGATTGTAGGGGCAAGGCAGAGAATGACAGGACTGCCTATCAGAATGTTCCCTTCCATTTCCTTACAGGAACTGAGCACCTCAAGCAGAGGAGTTCTGACCCCTGGCATAATTTCCTGTGTAGAAAGAGAATATTTTAGTCGAAAGGGCGGCCATGTGATTTCTCAACCCCATAACCTGAAGCTTGCAGCTGATGTGTACGTCAGTAACTTCAGACATACTAGGCTTGAGTTTGCAGCATGTTAAATTAAGGCTCATGTCCCCTCCCTGATATTTTGGACTACAACTCCTGTGAACCTCACCCAGCATTGGGGACTATGAGAATAGTGGTCCAAAATCGAGAGGGCACTGGGTTGCCTACTTCTGTCTTTAGGCATGTGAAAACCCCTCTTGTGGTACGAGATGCCCTGTGGTGTTGTGTGTCTGTTGTGAGAGAGCATGTCTTTGGGCATGTGAAAAGCCCCTCTTGTGGTATGAGATGCCCTGTGGTGTTGTGTGTCTGTTGCAGCTTTCCCTCATGTCAGAAATTCTTTAACTGTGGAAAAAAACAAGTGAGACCACAGGGTTGGGGAAGAATATAATTCATGTTCCCTCATGTCAGAAATTCTTTTAACTGTGGAAAAAAACAACAAGTGAAACCACAGGGTTGGGGAAGAATATAATTCATGCAAGGTCATGTACTAGTTGCAACACTCGGTAAATTATAGTTTTCCAACTTTGCCCAAGATAACCCTTTCCCTGCTGTTTTGCACTGTTGAGCCCAGATGAAGTTTGAAGTGCTTTCTTTCCCTCCTCAATCTCTCAGTCATCCCACAAGACATTCAAGATCAAGCGGTTTCTTGCTAAGAAGCAGAAGCAGAACCGGCCCATCCCACAATGGATCCGCATGAAAACTGGCAATAAGATCAGGTAAAAACACTCTTTGCTTCTCAAGGGTTGACAGCCATGCATAAGCCACTCTAGTCGGAAGATGTTGTTCCCAGTTGATGATTCTTCAAGGTGTGAGTTTCTGGGATTGTGGCTGGAGATAATTTGGGGCAGATAATTTGCTCCAACTTCCAGGGCTACCCACTTCTGAGGGAAAGGAACAAGCCCTCTGCACTCATAAATGCTCTCTTCCGTTCCACCTCTTGTCCTTGAGCGCTTTCAGGATGTGGCCATTGGGAAGAGGCACATGGTGGCATTCCAGTCCCTCTAGCTCTCCAAGATGGTTTTTTAATACAGGTGAAATAGCTGCTAGTATGGGATTGTCCTTCTTTGGGAGAACATGGAACCCACAGTTCATTCACAAACCTTATAATGTGGCCTCATTTAATGCAGAGGCGCATCTTATACCTTTGCAGTGGGTGCATCATTTCTTCTTTCTAAACAGTCTAGAGAGGGAGTGCAGTTCCATGTCCACTTGAAGGGGGGGCTTGAGTTTCTTCTTCCTGGCTGATTAAATAGGGGTGGGCACTAGCGGCTGGATTGCTTAGTGGCAGAGCTGGGAGTTCAATTCCTCCCGGTGCCTCCTCGATAGGCTGAATGCAATGATCCTTAGGCTCTTTTCCAGTTCTGTAGTATCGCCGCCGCCACCCTCGGTCCTTGCCTGGTCCCAGTCTGAAACCCAGGACAGCTGCTGCCAGTCATCATCAACAAGAGTGGGCTGGATAGACCAAGGATCTGCTTCAATATGGAGCAGTTGCCTGTGTTCCATTATATGTTAACGGGTCTGTCTATTGTTCACTTCACTTCCTTAGCTGCCTAGGACCGCCCTGGATTTGACACGTATGTTCTTAGTCATCCTTTCTTCCAGAAGGACTAGTTTTTATTTCATTCATATCCTGACATTGGTAGGCAAAGAGTAATTTTGCCCATCTCTGCTTTTTTCCTTCCAGTTTCTTTACCCCACATCCTTGCACACAGTTATGTCTTGTTTTGAAAAGGCTGGCTTTCCCCTGATTTGGCCGTGGTGTTGGGGAAGCTCTGGCCTTTTGTCTCCCGTCTCCACTTTGCTGGAGTCCTTTTTCCAGGCCCAGGATTTCCCAAAGCAGGCTGCAATTGCAGTGCTTCAGTCTGTGGGAGCACTGCCATGTCCCTGCTGAGAGCAACTCTGTGACTCAGAATTTGGTTTCTCTTCTGTGCTGGAGAAATCACTCTTTGAACAGTGACAGGCACTGCAAAGAAAACTCCGAAGTGCATGAAGACTTTGGGATAACACACATAAAGACTTCTTTTTCTGGTGGAAAAGCACAACTCCACTTTTGACCGGGAGTTGCAGGGTACATTTTATTAAGCCAAATTTTGCCCATGAAAGATTATCCAGAACATAAGTTGCGTAATAATATAAGGAAGGTTTTCTGCCTAGACGCAAGTTATTTAAATGCTGAATTCTCAGTTTCCTTCAACATCTCAGGCCCTCATACTGTGGCGTGGAAGATAAGCAAATAGATTAAAACACAGTTGATTAAATGTGTATAGCAGTGCCAGTCAGATGGTGAATCAGTTGATTGCCTTGTCTCATAATAAAGCGGTTGATAAATTACCATGTTGTTAAAAGTTAGACAGCAAAATGAGTTTTGGCAAGTTAGTAAATAGTAGGTTTTAGAAAGGGTTTTCCTTGTTTTATTATTCAACCTGACAAACATTTATTTTTCCCCCCAAAAGAAGTTATGAATACTGGGAAATGACATCTCTCTTTTTAATATACAATACAGAGTTGATGTGTGTTGAAGTGAGAGAGGAGGGGGGCCAGGTGGGTGTGGGAAAACCGCACTCCCTCTGCTCGCAGCTGTGAGGCCCCTTTGTGAGTGGTGCCGTGCATGAATTACAAGTGGGGTGGCTAGTCCAGTCCCTCCCTGTTGGCTGGGATCTTTGTCTCCCGGAGTTTCAGAGTTGTGTCCCGCTTACTAATTGCATCGCTTTTTGTTCTAGGTACAACTCCAAGAGGAGACACTGGAGGAGGACCAAGCTGGGCTTGTAAAGCGAAGCCGCTCCAATCCTGTCAACGTGCCCATCCCACAGCAGGCACTCAAGCCCCAGGATGACCTGCCAGTCTGCCAGAGCCCTGTTTTCAGGGCTGAATCCTGTCATGCGTTGTGCAGTTTTCCTTTCTTTTCTAAAACCTTTATTTTCATAAGGAGTTTCTGAAAGAATTAAAACTGAATAATGAAGAGCTTTGTGTTTAACATTCTGCGTTCCTTAGTTCTAAGTAATGACTGCCTTTTTGTTGCCAGTGGAGAGAGAGGCTCATTAATAAATATGAGACTGAGCACAGTCTAGCAAATTAGCAGCTTCTTATTCCAATTACTGTTTGCACTTGCTAGATACCAGGGAGTCAGGCAGAGAAGAGTTGGCAACAATACAAAAGGCTGGGGCTGCGAATTTGACATCCATTGCCTGGAAGACTGAAATGGCAGGCTGCTTCTGCGTGGATGAGTAGGTGGGAACAAGGAGGCAAAAAAACTGCCACGACAGTCAGTTGGTGCAAAAAACACAAGTCTTTCAGAGCTGGATCGCAGGATGCCATTGGGTCTCACTAAGCAAAATTCTAGCAAGGGCTTAGAATAAAAGGATGGATTGGGATCAGGGGCCACATAACTGGTTGTGGCTCTAGAGACCAAGCAAGAAGAAAAACCAAAATGAGTGAATTTGGGGAAGATTTTCGGCCTTGCTTCACATTCATGTTGGTTTATCCCAGGCTATTTTATTTTTTGTTTTTAAGTTAATGTTCTCAGACTGTAGTTCCCAGACTCCTAGTGCTCTACCACTTGGGGAGGCTCTAGGAGCTACAGTCCAAAAAGGACAGCTTTTTCCACACCCGTTACAGGAGAAATGATCAACCTTTGGTTCACTTTCCCGTTTAATACGATAATGAATAAAATGACTGGTATACACTTCTCCCTTGAATTACATGGATACCCGTTAAAGGAGAAATGATCAACCTTTGGTTCATTTTCCCGTTTAATACAATAATGAATAAAATTACACTTCTCCCTTGAATTACATGGATCGGAGCAGCACGCTTTTGGTTATTAACTGGTTTTGTTTTTCAATAAATAAGTGCTTCAGTTAATAAATATTCAGTAAATGCTATTTGTCTCCAGGAAGTGCCCTGAGAAAGCTTAGTCTTGGACTTTGCAGGGCCCCTGTTGGTGGTGGGTGCAGCCGCCCAAATGCCTCCCCTCTCCTGGCACGGTGGCTCTGGGGGAGTGGAGCAGCACACTTTTGGTTATTAACTGGTTTTGTTTTTCAATAAATAAGTGCTTCAATTAATAAATATTCAGTAAATGCTATTTGTCTCCAGGAAGTGCCCTGAGAAAGCTTAGTCTTGGACTTTGCAGGGCCCCTGTTGGTGGTGGGTGCAGCCGCCCAAATGCCTCCCCTCTCCTGGCACGGTGGCTCTGGGGGAGGGGGCTACTGGGACGTGAGAGGCTGATACAGGTTGGAGTGTGTGTTAATCTGTTTGCATTGTAGTTAGATGGGGGGGGGTCATGAGAGTTATACACAGATTTTTAACTACACGGTCCAGTGCCCCTAACCTCAGTGTTGTTGAAGGGAGAAGTATATTTAAAGGCTGGTGGTTTCTTAAACTTTTATTCCCCCTAATGAAGTTTCCTGTTAAGTCCCTAAGGAAAGAAAATTACCTGCACATTTCGAAAATGGCAAATTCCCCCTTGAAACAGATTGCTCTATACCAAGTTGTCCCTTGATATCCTAGTGCTGTATTGTAGTGGGCAGATCTTGAAACAAGATTTCCTTTCCTATCAAGCTGGTCTGGAGACAAGGGATCGAACCCAGAACCTTCTGCCTACAAAGTGCATGTACTTTCCCCACAGACAGGCTGTGAAGAATCAAATATTGCAAGTACAAATTGAGAAAGGAGCTCGTCTGCAAATGGTCACAAAATAGTGAAACTCAGAAATGTCGGTGCACTTCATTTCAGGTACCTTTCAGTATTTCACATACTCTTTAGTGGAGTACTCCCACATGCAAAAAGAATGAATTTCCACACTTGCCCACTTCACGAGAGACAAATTGGCTGTGTTTCACAGTCCAGGTCTTCTGTAGCCTGCCAGAAATCGCTTGACGTTAACACTTTTAAACCCTAATGACATCCCCATCTTGTCCTTCTGATGGCAAATGTCACGTCAAAGTTCTAAATCCTTTTCCAAGGCTTTTAGAGTGGCTCCTATTTTTGGGGGGCCCTGGGGGGTTCCAGGATGGGGACAAGAGGAGCTTGCACTGCATATGGACCGCAGACTGTTGACTGCAAGCTAGGTGGGTTGGAAATGAGGAGAAAAGTCTTCCCATGTTGGAGTGTTTACTCCTTTCTGCGCTTAACTGAACTGACGGGTCTCCCTTTTGCTGTTCCACCAGGATTTGCAATCCCACCTGTCAACATAGGATTTTTCAGACATTTGAAGAAAGTGCAGTTTTTTAAAGGGCTGGTTGTACTGGGAAGGATAATTGACGTGTTTGCTATCCTACTGTTAAGCAAGCAGTGGAGATCATATATTTGTATAATGAAATAGCTTCCAGGTTTCTGTAAAACTAGAAACTTAAGTATATTACCTCTATGGCCTTAGGACTTCCTGAAACTGCTACATTTGCTCAGGAATCTCTTAATAAGCGAGTCTGTCAAACACTTTTATGACAGTACGAGCAACAGCAGTCTTTGCTGATTCCTGTTCTGTTTTGACTCCTTTGGTTTTTTTTAAATTTGTCCTTCCTTCCTGAGGTGGAGCAGGCCTGTTGCTACAGTGGTGGTGGGGAAATCGTGTTCTATTATTTGAGGAAGTGTTTTGCAACTGGCTGAGAATGATGGGAGCTGTGCTCCAATACAGCTCCAGGAACCAAACGGTTCAAATAGCAAACACAAAACATAGCACCATCTATTTGCTCTTCTCTTACCCACCCCTTAGATTGCAGGGTTTATAATTCTATTTATATTCTGCTTTTCCTCCACAGAGGTCAAGGTAGTATATGTGGCTTTTCTCCTTTATTTTCAAGACAACCCTGTGAGGTAGGCCAGCCTGGCAACTGAGGAATACGCCTATGACCATTCAGTGGGCCTTGAACTGCGATCTGTAAAATCCCAGTCGAAATAAACCACCAAATTGCACTGGCTTTGGTTAAAATGTGTACCCAGACCTTTCCAGTGCTTGAGTTCCCACAGTCACCATCAAAACAACCATAATGATAAATAAACAATTAGAACAGTTGTTGTAGGTTTTTCAGGCTATACTACACCAGAACACAGAGTTCTAGCTCCTGTCCTCTGAAGATGCCAGCCACAGAGATTGGCGAAACGTTAGGAAGAAAAACCGCCAGAACACGGCCAAACAGCCCGAAAAACCTACAACCACCATCGGATCCCGGCCGTGAAAGCCTTCGAGAAAGCAATTAGAAGCTTGCCTTTGGCCCAGCTATGATGGCAAATGGGTTTTAGCTAAAGAAGGTGGAAATTGAGAAGAAAAATAACCTTACTTTTAGATGGTCACTTTTAAAAAGTTCTTTATTTGAGACTCTGATGGTTTCAACAGTTCAAGGAACACACCCTTCTAAAGTACTGAAATAATGTTCATCTCCATTTGGCACGGCCAGAATCTGTTGAAGTTCTATCAGCTGTCCGTCTTGGTCACGTTCTAGGAAGCTGTGCTGCCTCTCCAGGGCTTCATGCAGACCCTTTTTCTCAGACCTCCCTGAAAGTGCCAGGATTGAACCCAGTCTCTGTATGCAAAGCTAGAGCCAAGAAATAATAAAGAAGGGTGCACAATCCTCCTTGTGACCTGCCATCCAGTAGCTTCTGGCTCACAACAACCCTAGTAGGGTTTTTAAAAGTAGGTGAGACATTCAAGGACAGCAATGTTCAAGGAGTGGTTCTACCATAGCCAGCCCTTGGAGAGTTTCCATGGTTAAACAGGGATCTGAGCCCAGGTCTTGTCAGTCCTAGCCTGCCCATCTATCCACTACACACCACAACAGCTCTTCCATCTAGTCAGGAGTCATTGTTTAGATCAGCTAAGACACGGCACCAGTACACCTTTTCACTATAAAAGCATATTGTAGCTCTCATATACACTCATAGGAAAGCAATGGGGCTGAAACCCTGGCATGCTACCAATCAGAGTTGCCATGGACGAGGTGGCATGGGCCAAGGGCCTATCTCTTCCCACAAGGCTTTAGCCAGTCAGGATTCAGTTCCTCTACTCCAGCAGGCAAACCTGGACTCTTTGGACAATGACTCCGAAGAATCTCCCCTCCAGATTCTGGAAACTGCCGTCTTAACTGTGCCAAGCTCTTTAAGTGGACAGCAGATCATCAGCATCAAACAGACAAGAGGATTCTCCCTTGACTTGCTACATCACTGGTGATGCTGAGGATTGAACCCATAGTAATCTGGTCTGGTTTCCTGCTAAGTGGGAGGTAGTATCAGGCAGATAAATCAAGGAGGCAAAAGGCTGCACCGTAACAAATGTGGGTCACAAGCCAATTTATGGGCGGCCAACATGTTGGCTGCTGAAATTCTTGCAAAGACGGCTTTCACACATTCATACATAAAATTGGCATGCCTGCAGCACTAAAGACAAAACGACGACGTGTGAGCATCCCACAGCTACACTCTTCCTTAATTGGGGTGGGCACATGAGGACCATGGGCATTTGAATAAAAAGAAAGTTGATTACACAATGCTGAGGTCAACTCAGCCTTCAAACTACTGTTCCCGCCCCACTTCGGAAAAAGTAGTGTTTGGCACAGCATATTTATTCCCTGAGAAGTGCAGTTTTAATGTTAAAAGCAGTACGGTTCCAAACACGTCTTTGAAAGGATCCGGGCAAAGCCTTCAACGCTCTCAAAAGCTGGACTGATCCCTGAACAAGATTTCTGAGAAGGATTTCAGCGCTTGAAGTGGGTCACTGATGTTTCCTCTAGCTTGCCAGATCACATGTTTGCAAAAGAAGGCAAGGCATTTCCCTGCACGTATAAATTTAGACAGGTTAAAGAATTATTTGTTCTTGTCCAAATAGGGAAAATGCTTTTTTCCCCCCAGTACAGATCCCCAAATCCACACAATAGCTATGGAATCCTGGGAATTGTAGTCCAAAAAAGCCCCCGACCCTTTCCTATCTCTTGTCCTAGAAACTAGATTTCTTTCCATGCAGCCTTTACAGAGCCTTACCTGCAGGCTTCCTTCAGGAGAAGCAAGGGAGCAGGAAAAAATATTCCTCAGCCAGAACATTGTTTCAGGAGTTAGCGTTTAAACTCAGCGCTTGGGGAAAAGCTGAACGGGGTGTGGGGGGGTGTCTGTAGTCCAGAAAGCAACCTTTCCAACCTCTGAACTAGGTCCATTTTGTATTTCCTCTGTCCTTTCCCCCTTAAGACTGAAGGTCTCAGAGTCCTCATCCTTAAGGCAAAAAAAGGCATGTGTGGGCAGATCTGAGGAAGCCTGGCGTCGGGAGACAAGCCCTGTGTCACCACAGCCACGCCAGGTGCTGCTTTCCACTTTACCCCCACCCTCTCGTGTGCCCCACAATTCCCTGCTGTGACAATCCACTCCCTCCCAAAAGGTCAAAAAAAAAACCCTTCTGCTACTGAGCAGATACCTACAAGTCCTGGAAAAACGCAATGGCTTGCCTGAACACGTTCCGGAAAAAAGAGAGTCTGGGCACGGCCCCCTGGTTCTGCCTTCTGCCACTGGCTTCACCGGCACCCCCCTTGAACATGTGGAGAGTACCCCGCCGGGATGGGGCACAGTTGTTGTTTGCGTTGCCCTCACCAACGCAGGCCAGGTCTTCCTCACAAGCCCCCAAGAGCTCCTTTAACTCCCTGGGAGCATCTGCTCTGAGGTATTGCCATGCTTTACGGCCGTTGTGGTCTCGAAGGCCCGTGTTGGCCCCATAGGCTCCCACCAGGACCTTGACGACCATCTCGTGACCCTGGAGGGCAGCCAGATGCAAAGGGGTGAATCTCCCACTGGCTGTGAGGACGTCGACGTCGACCGGGTAGCGGTTCTTCTCGGCAAAGGCAATCACCTCAATCAGATCTTCATGGCGGCCATGTTTGGCCAACCAGTGGAGAACGGTGAAGCCCGTCACAAAGTCCTTCCTGGAAAGCAGGCTGGAGTCCTTGGCCAGCAACCGAAGGATGTTCTCAGCATCTCCTTGGGCGACTGTCAGCATCCATTCATGCTCCAGGGGGTCCAGAACAAAAGACAGGTCCTCAGAGTTGGCATCCAGGAGAACATCCTGATCTTGCTGGTTATCAACAGGGACGTTTTCTCTTTGGGAAGCCGTCAGCCAGGTGGGTTTGGCTTGGCTGGTTTGCAGCAGGATCTCTTTGAGACCTTTCCTCCTCGTACTGCTCCAGCCCGCGGAGAGCCTGATGGTGTCCATTCCGCCCGTCCAGTTCCCTGAACGCCGACTCGACCTGGTCAGGCTCCGATTGAAACCGGAAAACTGTCCCCGGCGGAGAGCCAAACTTCCAGCCCGGATGCTGGGACTGGGGGACTGGCTCCCAACAGCAGTGGCCTGCAGCGAAGACGGAGAGACATCTTCCTGCATGCACGATGCAAAGTCCCGGGCCATCTCCTGCTGTCGCTCTTCCGAGTTTTCCTCCTTTTGTATTTCTGCCATCGTGTCTCCTCTGCAGTTCAAGACCATCACTCCGAAGTTTCTGTGTGTTTTCAAGTTTTGCTTAAGTCATGGCCAGTTTCTGACAGAGCCCCATGCATCGTACACGCTGTTCCCCAGTAAATGAGAAGTGAAACCTGCCGGATCTCCCCAGGCTGCAGGGCTTCCTGATTCTGCAGGCGACACAAAAGTGAACAAACACTTTCTTTCGATACTTAGGAGGAAGAAAACATTTGTGAAAAACAGGCGTCAACGGCAAAGCTATCTTGTTTCTGTCAATCTGTGGCTTTCAAAGTCGCAAGGGGAACCCACAGCTCCATAAATGCCCACCGCTCAGAAATTTCTCAATTTTTTAAAACTAAGATTCCCAGAATTTCTGAACCAGCATGCCAAGGGTCAGGTGGGCATTTTGAGATTTTTAGCACCTCCAAAAAAAGGTAAAATTTCCCAGCTCCCTACATCCCTTTGTTCCTCCACTTAAGAAATATTAATTCTTTTCCTTCTGCCTCATGAAGTTTCTTGCACTCCACACCACAAATCATTTGACAGTAAATAATAAAAACCAGACAGAAGTGTTATGACTCCTTGAAGAAAAAGAAGAAAAAATCAGTGCACGCTTTCATGACTTACAAATCTATGTTTTGCACATAAGAAATGAATTGTAATCCATGAATGATGACATTAAAATCTGCTACTCTTAAAACTGCCACGGTGTTTCTGCCGTTTGTTTTGTTTTTGCTTTTATTGTTGCTGGAACAAACTAGCATGGCTACCTTTCTGAAAGCTTGATACTAAATGCCATTTTTCCCCTGTTAGAACTATATTTTGCAATTCTTTCTATTTTTCCAGAAACTAACTAACTTTCTTTCTTTTTTTGTCCAGCTAATAACAAGCAATTATCCAACTTAATGAGAAGGAACGGAGAAGATTTGTAGAAATTTAATATCATAGAAATCATAGAAAAGTGAAGTTGTAACGGGACTACAAGGCCATCAAGTCCAACCCCCTGCTCAAAGCAGAAATACAATCTAAGCATATCTGCCTGGTGATTATCTTTTTTCTTGAATACCTCCAGTGTTGGAGCACTCACCAACTCCCGAGGTAACTGGTTCCACTGTCTTACTGCTCTAACAGTTAGGAAGTTTTTCCTGATCTTCAACCAAAATCTGGCTTCCTTTTACTTGATCCCATTGTTGTGTGTCCTGCACTCTGGGATGATCGAGAACAGATCCTGCCTCTCCTCTGTATGACAGCCTTTCAAATATTTGAAAAGTGCTATCATATCACCCCTCAGTCTTCTTTTCTCAAGGCTAAACATGCTCAATTCTTCCAGTCTTTCCTTAGAGAGCTTGGGTTCCAGCCCCCTGATCATCCTTGTCACCCTCGTCTGGACTTGTTCCAATTTGTTAGCATCCTTCTTGAAGTGCGGTGTCCAGAATTGGACACAACACTCAAGGTGAGGCCTAACCAGTGCAGAATAGAGGGGGACTAGCACTTTGTGAGATTTGGAAACTTTATGTCCATTAATGCAGCTTAAAATAGCATTTGCCTTTTTTGTAGCCACATCACACTGTTGGCTCATATTTAGCTTGTGATCTACGACAATTCCAAGATCCTTCTGTCTCGTAGTTTTGCTGAGCCAGGTGTCCCCCATCTTGTAACTGAGGAATTGGTTTCTTTTTCCAAGGTGCAGTATCCCTGATGGTGACATTCTTATTAATTAGTTCTAACACAGTTTGTAGAGCAAAACAGCTTGATAGTCCTCTTGAGATGCTTACAAACAGAACACTTTCGGTATCTGTTTAAATACCCTAAAGCTGATTATCAAGAAATGTGTCCGGGTGAACTTTGTGGCTTTTATTGAGCAGACATGTGGAGAACTGCACTGTACAGCAGTTGGAAACATGACACTTCAGGGGTTTTCCATTCTCATTTTTTCTTTGCCAGTTCCTCCCACTTTAGTTTGTTTGACTTGTGTTAAGCCTGGAAGAATTGGTCTGGAGAGTTCGAAAGTTCTCCCGGTCTTGTATTAGAAACAAATAAAAGCTCACAGCTGTTTTACACAAAACCCTGAAAAGGGTTGCCATAAATCAAGACTGACTTGATGGCTTATTAGTAGTAGTATTATACCCACCATAGCTATAATTGTTCAAGATATCACTGTACTATATATCTGTTAGGTTCTGGAAACTGTACCAAAACCTGTTCACAGGAGTGCAAGCCCCTTATGTCCCTTCTCATCTTGTTTTCAACATGTCATTCAACACTTTGAAGTGCAGGAAGTAAAACCGTACCTTTCTGCCACTTGGCATTGATAGACATTTCAAAATATTAAGTGCTGCTGAAACATTTTGAGAATGGTAAAAATATTTTATTGTCGACCAGAAACACCTTCATTTCAAAGCAAGAGAGACCTCTTTCATGGCACCTTAAAGATATTTTTTAAAAAACATCACATGCTTCTTTTTTAAATTTTTGCTCAGCTCAGCTTGTTTAAAAAGAGGAAGGTTGCTTTGTGAGTTCTTCTCTCACTAAACACAGCGATGTGTAAAAACAACCAGGGGCTGTTACTATGTTGTATGGGGATTCTGGGATTTGTAGTTCAAAAATGAAATGTTTCCAAGTTCTTCTTCAAGTGTTTGGAGGGAAAGTGGGGAAGCAGAAAACAAAGCGCCCTTCTTTCCCCCCCACGGAATTGTAGCTCTCTGAGAAGGCTGCTTTTTTGCCTATGTTTTGACATGTAAAGATGTAATGACAGTTATCCTTTAACGAGCAGGTGAACTGTAAAAGTGATGGATGATATGTCGGGACGTCCAGGTTCAAGCCCTTCACTGAGCCAAGGAAGCCAACCCTGTATCTTTGGTCCTCTTTCAGGCTGAGCTACCTCACAGGACTGTTTGTTTGTTGGGGAGAATAAAACCGGGAGGGTCCCTGTATACGACCTTGCACTTACTGGGAAAATGTGAGCCATAAATCAAATAAATGTTTAGAGCAGACTTTGAAAATTTCAACCCCATCTTAAAAATATTGCTACCCTACCAATGTTATCAATTCATAGACTTTTTCATAAATAAAATTGTTGTACATCTCGTTACAGGTGTGCTAAGCCAACAACACAGTCCCACACAGAGGAATTAATCTCTCTCTCTTTTCTCATGCACGCACACTGAGTTATCTATCATTCAAAGATGGGCATTCACCTCAGTTTTTCCCCTCATAAAAATATATATTTTTCAGCTCAGCTTCCTGAATGTTCCAGGTTCTTAGTTTCTGTTTTTTTTTTCTGGCTAAAGCCTAATTAAAAGGAGCAAAGGGACAGGCTGTATAAGGTGACAGCTTAGGGCTGAAGGTGCTGCCTCATCATGGTTTTATCCAAAGTTGGAAATGTTGCATTTTTGGACAGCTGTTTCTAGAATACAGCTGTTTCTATACCAGCATTCAGACAAGAGCAAAACTCTTCCTGAGTCAACTTCCTTGTCCTTTGAAGCCGACCATATTGCTCACCTGAAAGATGGTTAATTACTTTAGAGGCAGCCAGAGTGTTTACGCAATCAACCGTCTCAACGTTTATTACTTGCATCAATCACGCTACGCTTGCTTTGACATTTCCCCCTCCCCGGTGGGTCCCCCACTCCTACAACATGTACGTGGACGTTAACCTGTGAACCTAAATAGTTCACTCCACCTGTCTCGGGAAGTGGGTTGTAATGCACAAAAGCTGGCAAGGAAATAAATATGCCACCTTTTTACTCCCCCTCCCCCCGTTCTGTGTGCTGGGACACCCTAACAGATTTACCTCACTGAAAACTAGCACCCAACCCTTTTAACCTTTGAACTGAAGAGCTGGAAGGGACCCTGTGGATCATCCAGCCCAGCCCGTCAAGGAGGCCCAGTGGGGGGATTTGAACTCCCAGCCTCTAAACCACAGAGCTAGTTTTCTAAGCGCTGCTTTGATCACACTCTTGCATTGACTTGTTCTCTGAATTTTACAGCGATGTTAAATGGAGTCATGTTCCACTTGTAACTCTTCCATATTTCCTTTGTGACTCCTAGGGCTTTGTTGCGACATGCTGTTAAGTCACACCTCACATATAAGGTGTGTGAGATATTTCACGAGTGGCTTTATTGGTGTGTCACACACCACCCCCAGCGAGCTTCCACAGTGGAGTGGAGATTTGAACCCTGCCTTTTAGTTCACCACCGGACCCACTACATTTCACTGGCCCTAATTCTTATTGCATCTTTCCCTACCTTAAGACTTACCTACAGATAGAGAGCTTCTACTGTTCATCACTGGACGACATGATACAATTCTTCTGTCTTTTTTCCTTGTCAGATTACCCCTGCTGAGAAAAAAAAAGTCAGAAGAAGCCAAGTTATCAGCACTTCCCATAAACCTCCACCAACAGAGTAGTGTGACCACACTGTAAATGTCTGGACTGGAAGCATTAGAAATTACGGGCCGTGAAATACAAAGATGCCCAATGATAGCTCTGTTAAAAGTATGTTTGGAAAAATTAGAATTGGGGGGGGGGGGGGACAACAAATAATTATTTTATTAACAGCCAAAAGACTGATATTTGCAAAGAACCAGAAAAATAATAATCAGTTTAATATGGAGGATTCCTACAAAGAAATGTGAAATATTGCTATCAATGATAAATTGACACATGAACTGAAAGCTAGAAAAGGACTATTGAAAACAAATTATCTTAAGGAGATAAGGAATGTGTTCACTTATACTTTGGTTAAAAAAGTTATACCCAACACAAGAATCATTATATTTCTGGAGACAGACAGGACACAGTGTAAACTACTAACAACTACTACTAATAATAAATTCTTATTCTTATTCTTATTCTTTGCTCAAGAAGCAGTTGACTATAAATGGTTTAGCTCTACAGAATTGGCTTTAAGTTACTGCTACTGCTGGTGAACATTGTGGTGAACATTGGATTCTTTGTTGAATTTGAACCCCTTGTACACCTATATGCAATCATTGTTTTGAAGTAGACAATAATTGTCCAAGTAATTCATCTCATTGAAGTCAACCTTGCATATTAGAGTCTAGACACACAGTCCTATAGACTTGTTGGTCTAGAACAGTGGCTCCCAACTTTGGGTCCCCAGATGTTCTTGGACGGTAACTCCCAGAAAACCTGCCCATGGCAGAAAATGGTGAAGGTTTCTGGGAGTCCAAAAATATCTGGGAACCCAAGGATGGGAACCACTGGTCTATAATCTGCTGTAAAAAGAAATATATATATATATGTAAAAGGAAGCATCTTGGAAAGCCAATTACTTTAAGGAGAAAACGCAGGAGCTCCAGCTGTTCAGCACTAAGGGAAGGAAAAGCACTTTGTCCTTGCTCAAGGACATGGTCATCTCATCCCAGCCCAGCCCATCAGTTAAACCACCCCATGCTTCGTGGTTCCAGGTGCTTTCTCTCCACGTTATGTTTGGCCATGACAGGAAAAAGCATTTTTTCATTTCCTCTTATGCCCCCCCCTTTTTTTTTAGTAAAGCGTGTCTGGGATGATGGAGGGAAAAGAAGGCAGAACACAAGGGTGCACACTAAATTTACCTACAAAGGACAGGAGTTGCACATAAACAAATAAGCCTGTAGCCTTGACATGACAGCTTTTGGAGGATTCACAACGTCCACCCTAGAAATGTTGCATGTCATTGACGTTAGAAAGGAGTTGAAGGTCTTCAACCCCCATCTCATGAGATCTCTAGGGCAGGATTTAGCCCTACTAAGACCCACTTCCACCCCTTCCTTCCCTGTGCTTTCCCATCTTGGACTTTGCTTCCTTCTCTCTTTTTTTTGTTTGGAGATGGTCTGTTTTCATTCTTGTTTTATATTGCTCAGAGTAGATGGGTTTGAATCTAGATGGGCTGGGAGGGAAGCCAAATAAATAAATAAAATAAAATAAAATAAACAGGGGCAAGGATTACACCCAGAGTTTGAGAGCCAGCCACATTTCAAGATACTGTACTCTGTTTTCCTACTGATAGGCAACGTGAGCCAAGGCCAGCCCTCTTCGAAGCCAGAGTGAAGCCACTGTTTCAGGTGACAGGTGCTTGGGGACAGCAGCAACACACACACACACACACACACACACACACACACACACACCGTGGCCCTCCCACCTGAGCACCCCCAGCCCTTTCCCTCTGTTGGAAGCCAGAGGTGGACAGCACATCTGCTGCACAGCTGGCCTTACATTCCCTGAGCTCGCCGGCTGGCTTCGGGGATAGAAGAGAAAGCCGGAGAAGTCCAGCCGGCAGCCACCTTACCCGGGAGTGTCACCGGGCACGCTCCGGCCTTCTGCCCTCTGCAGCAGTCTATCCTCGACTGGTCTTCCACAGCCATCATCACAACAACCCCTTCAAGCAGGAGCGAGTCACCTGCTCCCCTCCTGTAGAGCTGAGCCCTGTTGGAGGCTTGCCCTGTCCAGTTATGGCTTGAGGGTTTCGGGGGGCTTTTTTAACCATCACAGCTGATTATTCCCTTCCCGCTACCAGGCAGTCTCAGCTCCGAGAGGCCAGCAAGGTAAGCACGGATTTGAGCCATGCATTTATTTTTTTTATTTTTATTTTTTGCAAAAACGAAAAACAAGCACATACACACGCGGCTTCTCGCAGAAACGCCTCCCCGGGAATGGCTCGCGCTCCCCCGAGGGCTGAAGGAAACGTCCCCGGGGAACTGACCTTCTCTCTCCGTCGAGGTCGCCCTTCCTGCTCGCCTTTCGCCCATAAAGGCGGACTCTGGAGGGAGGGTGAAGGGAAGAAGCCGAGGAAGGGAAGGGAAGGAACGAGCCGGGCAAAACTTTTCCAGGTGAAGAAGACCTTCCAGAGCGGGACGAGCGCTTCTGCGGCTCCGGAGCCACCTGCCCGCCGGCGCGCACCGCCCCCAGCCTCCCCACCTGCCCTCCCAACAGCCGGAGGCACCTTCGGGCAAACTTTCCGGCTGCCTTCGCGGCTCCTCCTGGAAGCGGGTCGCTTCCGTGTCTCAGCGCCGCAGCCTCCACCCGGCCCGGCCAGTTCCTTTGTGCAAAGTTTGTTGTCCTCCGCGAGTTGCACCGCACAGCCCAGCCTGGGGCGGAGCAGGCGCGGGCGCGGAGAGGGCGCGGGGGCGACCTTTGCTCTGCCTCCTCCGGACGGAAAGCGACTCTAAGCTGCGGCGTGTGATGGCTGGATTCCGCACCGGGCAAGGCAGGGGACTCAAGACCCTGGCAGGTGAATTTAAAGGCAAAGGGACCACACACACTAGGGGTGGGGTGGGTGTCCCCTTCTAGGGAAGGCAGCCCTTTTGACAAACCGTCGGAAGGCATCCTCTGCTGGGTCCAAGCTGGATTTAAAGACGGAGAAATAGATCAGGGATCTTGAGGTGACCTGTCCACAGTCAAGAAAACACGGGTGGCAGGCTCAGCAGCCACGCATTAAAGACGAAGAAACAGATCAGGGACCTTGAGGTGACCTGTCCACAGTCAAGAAAACACGGGTGGCAGGCTCAGCAGCCACGCAGGCCACCTGGTCAGGTTCCCCCCCCTCAACACAGCTGTAATTCTGCTTAGATCATAAAAGGCAAATCCAATTTCACTCCTGTAGACCATTTTGGTCCCATTTTTAGGGGGTCGTGTGGGCACGTAAGCGGCCACTTTTAGCACACACACACCTACACCAAAGGAGAAGACAAGCAAGGATGACGGTGGAGGCCGGTGTAAACCTTTTGGAGGGATTGCAGATTTGGTGGGGAAAGGAAGGAAGGAAGGAAGGAAGGAAGGAAGGAAGGAAGGAAGGAAGAATGCCTAAAAAGGAAGGCCAACTGAGCACGTTGCAAGAGACGACCCCGTAGACGCCATCTCTGGACCATGTGAGAGAACTGCTGGCTTTAGGGAAGAAGGGTTACACAGGGTCCTATTAAACAAAACAAAAACCATGAAATCCAGTAGTAAGTTGCAACCAGAGTAGGTCTCTTGAATTAGTAGGAATTTGGTGAGTCAACACCTATGTAGGTTTTGTTGATTCAATGGGCCTACGCTGGTTGTGTCGCACTACTGGATTTTGGCCAGAATTTCCTGGCACCTTAAAGACGACGCAGCTTTATTTGATCCCAGCTTTGGGGAGCTACAGCCAAAAAGAGCTACGTCAACAAATGCATTCATGGAGCTGGAAATTTGTTTCCTCCTTTGTCCCAAATGACATCTGAAACGGTAAGGGCTAGCAACAGGACACCTGGTCGCAGGCACTACCAGAACGCCAGCTTAAATAAGTGAGAGCGTTATATATTGTGCTGGCTGGGGAGGTTTGAGAATTGTAATCCAAATAAATTATATTGCTTTGTTGTTAATAAAAAATAGCTTCTTCATTACATGTCAGTTCAAAGCTAAATCCAACCATTAATCCCTACCAGAGCAAACCTGTTGAATCAGTGGGACTTTGAAAACTCAATGCTTATGTAAATCCCATTGATTTACTGTAGATGTAAGTAACAACCAGGTACTGAAGGCAATGCTCAGTTAAACCAACAGGTTAACAAGCAGGAGCCATAGTTCTTACTGCTCCGCTAAAGCAAAATGGGAAAGAAGCCAGTATCAGCCGACATAGGGGGAATTCTATAACAATCAATCAATGTTTATTTGCATTAGCCATATGCCATAGCAAAATAAGTATAAAATCTACAAAGATACAGAATCAACGTATCTGACCCAAAATAACAGATGAATACATATGCATCGGATAACTATACCTAACAAAATTGGTCAGATAAAACTATATAAGATTACTCCTTTTGAACCATGATTGACCTAATTTTAATTGCTACACTAAAAAAATCGGCTATTTGTGCCGTAACTTGTTTATCTTGGTGTGTGAGAAGAAAAGATACAAAGAATTCAGAGGAACGTCCCGGAAGGAATTTTATAACCAGGATGCTATCACCAAAAATTGCCTGTCTCAAACACCTAGAAACCTAGCATCTGTTAAATAGCAGAACAAAGAATGGATAGTGACAATAAATTACTGGTATCGTGGCATCAAAGAGCTGTGCTCTCAAGGAGATTTTAAAAAATCCAGGCAGCAATATCTGTCCATATGAACAAACTCATCCCTGCCTGTTTTCATTCTCATTGTACCAAAATCCAAAACCTGGGATTCAGTAGGAAGGAGCCGTGGCAATTCGGGTGGTATGCATGCCTGTATACTGCTGGAACTCTCACACAGTTTTCTGGGAAAATCTAAGCGTTGTAGTCCAACAACACACAACTGCACAGCTCTAGTAATTATGTGGCACAGATCCACTTGACTTTTTCAATACTTCTGCATCAACAAAACGGGTCTTGCAACCCCCACCTTCCTTAAAGGAATGTTGTAATATTGGTGAGTCAAAACAAGTCAAGCATTTCAAACAGTTCAAAACTCGAAACGCCAAACAAGGTCGGTGTCTCAGCACTGGGTGACACCTTAGGAGTAAACCTGTTTTATATTGTTAACGGTCAAAGGCCTGTAGCAAAGTTCCGTCTCTTCCACCGGCTTCTTGTACTGTGGTTGAAGTCAAGCATTTCCTGGCCATGATAAGGAGCAGAGCCATTTCCTCAGAAAAAAAATGAACTGGTTAATCATTACTCCATTCTGGTCTTTGCAAGGGGAAGATAAGGAGGGAGGGAGGGAAGGAGGGAGGGAGTTCGGAGGAAAGGGGATGAAGAGGGATGGTGTGGGCAGGGAGTTTGGAGGGTAACTCCTTCTGCCTCCGATAACTCCTTCTGCCTAATGGTAGGGCCCGCTCTGACACACACTGACCATAATGAAATGTGTGTGGGCAGGGAGTTCGGAGGGTAACTCCTTCTGCCTAATGGTAGGGCCAGCTCTGACACACACTGACCATAATGAAATGCAACAAATGAAAGGGAAGATGTTCCACTGGGTCCCTTCTGAGTTCTCTGCTTCCCCCCCCCCCAGTTTTTTGGCCACAGTGCTCTCTGGTGGTCAAGTTGCTGATGAATCCAGAAGAGCTGCAATAGATGGGGATGGAGGAATGAAACATTTTTGTAAACTTCACTATAAAGTCTGTGTAGTCTTTAAGGTTAACAGAATTGTGCAGCCAGTGAGTGTTAAGAATACAGCACACGCTTTCTGGACTTCACTTCAGTCTGATCCTCTACCCACAACCATTTTGTTTGTTCAGTCGTTTAGTCGTGTCGGCTTTCTGGACTTCAGTCTGATCCTCTACCCACAACCATTTTGTTTGTTCAGTCGTTTAGTCGTGTCCGACTCTTCGTGACCCCATGGACCAGAGCACCCCAGGCCCTCCTGTCTTCCATTCCACTGCCGAGTTGGGTCAAAGTCATATTGGTGGCTTTGATGACACTGTCCAACCATCTCATCCTCTGTCGTCCCCTTCTCCTCTTGCCTTCACAATTTCCCAACATCAGGGTATTTTCCAGGGAGTCTTCTCTTCTCATGAGTTGAGAAGACTCCTTGGAAAAGACCTTGAAGTTAGGAAAGTATTAACACTGGTGCTTAAAATGATTTTTGATGATGGTGAAAGACACTGATGATGATGATGATGATGATGATGATGATGGTGATGATGATGATGATGATGATGATGATGATGGACTATTTGGACTTTTGTTGGCAATGTGATGTCTCTGCTTTTTAAGATGCTGTCAAGGTTTGTCATTGCTTTCCTCCCAAGAAGCAGGCGTCTTTTAATTTCGGGGCTGCTGTCTCCATCTGCAGTGATCATGGAGCCCAAGAAAGTAAAATCTGTCACTGCCTCCATATCTTCCCCTTCTATTTCCCAGGAGGTGATGGGACCAGTGGCCATGATCTTAGTTTTTTTGATGTTGAGTTTCAGACCGTTTTTTGCACTCTCGTCTTTCACCCTCATTACAAGGTTCTTTAGTTCCTCCTCACTTTCCGCCATCAGAGTGGTATCATCTGCATATCAGAGGTTGTTGATATTTCTTCCTGCAATCTTAATTCCAGCTTGGGATTCCTCCAGCTTTGGATTCCTCCAGTCCAGCCTTCCGCATGATGTATTCCGCATATAAGTTAAATAAGCTGGGGGACAATATACAGCCTTGCCGTACTCCTTTCCCAATTTTGAACCAATCCGTTGTTCCATATCCAGTTCTAACTGTTGCTTCCTGTCCCACATATAGGTTTCTCAGGAGACAGATAAAGTGGTCAGGCACTCCCATTTCTTTAAGAACTTGCCATAGTTTGCTGTGGTCCACACAGTCAAAGCCTTTCGCATAGTCAATGAAGCAGAAGTAGATATTTTTCTGGAACTCTCTGGCTTTCTCCATAATCCAGCGCAAGTTAGCAATTTGGTCTCGAGTTCCTCTGCCCCTTCGGAATCCCGCTTGTACTTCTGGGAGTTCTCGGTCCACATACTGCTGAAGCCTACCTTGCAGGATTTTGAGCATAACCTTGCACCTTTCATAGTATTTATAAAACCAATATCTCTCTCTGTTTCCATCGTATTTCTCTCCCCACACCCTCGTGAATGGATTGTTTTTGGATTAGAATATTTTAAAATCCAGCCAACACAAGGCAACCTAACATCAGGAGATGTTCATTTTCTGGGTCAGTGGAACAGTGCCTTTGAAAACTAAGTCCCTCATTCGGTAAACTGGTACAGAACTGGAATTGCAGTTGAATAACATTGTTATTCAAAGACAGAGGATGAATTTTCAAAAATGTTCTAGGCAGAGTTTTCAACCATCTGGCTTATGGAGCAACCAAATTAAACACAAATATTAACATTAACAATTTTTCTAAAAAAAATATCCCTGTATTCTACAGCACCTTCATATAGGTAACTAAGTTTTCTTCATATCCTGTAGCTAACGCAGTAAACAAATTCTGTTTCTCTCTCCCCTACTCGACCAGTCTCCCACCCACCCCCTCTCTCACACACACACAAAATAAAAAAAGGGACAAAATCCAGCTAGTGGAGTCCTATGCATTTAAACAGGACAGCTTTAATGGGAAAGTGAATACATCTCCCATTTAAATGAATGGAATTTAGAGTACTTAACTTTGGTTCCCTTACGT